TAGTGTCTTGCCGCAAGTTTCGATAGAAGACACCAAAGACTCTTGGTACGCCGATGCCACCGTCTCGCGTAAGAACTCGACAGATCCAAGAATACCATGCAGGGGCGAACGCAGCTCGTGTGATATAGACGCAATGAATGTGGTTTTGGCACGATCCGCTTTCTGGGCATTGAGTCGTGCTACTTCGCTGGTCACTGAGTTCCCGAATGCTTGGAGATATGGGAGTTCGTTATCCGGGCTCATCAACCTTCCGGCTTGGGTGGTCCAGATAAAGCCACCAGCAATCCATCGTTCCGTAGCCGGGCACCAGAGTGGCAGGAATATAAGGCTCCTAACCTTTGGCAGAACTTTGAGGAACTCGGTTGGGATGAATCTTTCTCGCTTTTTGCGCGTCTTCTTGGTGTTAGCGGCGGGTTCGTCGACTGTACGATCCGACTGTTCTGTCTCGGAACGTTCAGACTTCTCATCAGAAGAGTTGATGCCCATGCCATCCTCATTGTAGTTGAAGAACTTCCCGTACGGATATCGATGGATATAGCGCTCCATGGCAGCTTCATTGAAGCTGAAGTCTGTGTGCACTAGGGCGGCATTGCCTTCGCGTAAAGATAGTCCGACCACAGGACAGGCCTTGCTGTCAGTCCCATTTGCATCGGATACGCCATCCGCGGCGACGACTGTCTGTTTCTTGTGCCTTCGTGAAGCCGTTGAGTCGCCGGTATCAGTATTGTGTGTCGCACTCTCGTCGCTGCTACCGGCTGTGCGGTTGTAGTCGTAGAGATGGGTTCTTATCCCAGCGGTCGAAGTGTCGAAGAAGACGACACCATCGGCCTCAGTACTCTCGCGAATTATACGAGCGGCGCTGTGGAAGATACGAGCTGCGTCGGATTCGGCGTCACGCTTGCGGTGAGCTTGTCTGGCAGGCACAGACGTGTTGTGGCCTTCTTCTTCGTCAAGGGCTAGTAAGCGGGCGTTCTCGGTCTGCTTCTCCATAGTGGTGGGCCGGTTGCCGTCTTCTCGACTGTCCTGTAAAGAGGAGCGCTCGATGAACTGAGTCAAGCCACGTACCATGCGCTCACCCTTGTTGCGGTCCATGCTGTCTTTGGCCAACTCGAGGTGCTCCATGACGGCGGCGGAAACATCTTGCATGAAGCGCAATTCGCCAGCACTGATTCCATCGCGAGGCTTCTCATCAGATACAGCATAGACGCCAATGCGGTGGCCTGCTTTGGTAATGATGGGGACGCCTGCGTAGAACCTCACACCAGGCTCACCCTTGACATAGTCCCTATCGGCGAATCTTGCATCTAGTCTGCAATCAGGAATGACCATGCATTCGCCAGTGTAGGTGCTCCCATCGTCCTCTTTTGCCGTGTAGGTCGAGGAGAAGGTATGGTAACAGACAGCATCGGTCTTGGTCAAGATGGCGTTGCCCAGCCAGACCTCGTCTTCGGGCTCTTCGGCGACAGGCTTGAACAGCGACAGAGTTCGCGTGGCCTCGGCAAGAATGTACTGGTGGTGCGCGTCGATCAGCGATACCATTGCCCGCCGGGTGTCAAGTCGAAGCGTGGCGAGCTGCGCAAAGGCAGTCAGTGATCGATCGCGCGACGTCTGGGGCTGGAAGCCAGAGTAGGTCAGGCCTTTACCAGAACCGTCGGCAGCGTCAACCAGGCTCTGTGCATCGAGCCATGGGCGGTAGTACCTGTAAGCATCCTTAGTTGCAGCCGAAGCGTTTCTATCGCATAACCCAAACCTGTGGAGATCGCGCTCGCGGGCTGCTTCTGGCCACGAGTAGCCCATTGTTCTAGTATGTTCGTGGGGGATTCAGCATGTCCTTCTAGTAGCACAACATAGCAGAGTATCAGTCCCAAGGCAGAGGCACAACGGTGGGGGGTTCGCGACTGGCGGCAGCGAGGGTGCTTGTTCCTCTTGCAGGCGAGTGGCTGCCGCTGTCGTCCATTTTGAGTGACATAGTAACTGCATTGGTGCTAGGCGGCGGATATCCTGCTCCGCGGGCCATTCCAAGGCAATTGCATTTCTTTTGGCATGGGGGGAAACGAAGAATCCGATCGAGATGCGCCCGTGGTTATTGCCAGGTGACGAAGCGATCGTGCAGTTCCGCTAGTCACCTGTCTAGCCAAATGCCGATCTCCCGCATTCCAGTCGATGCGCGACAACCAAACTTTCAGACAGCAACTTCTGCGACGTCCATACGACAGCGCCATGTTTGAAGTGCCGGATGCGAAGCGGTGGGTCGACTCGCTAGTGCGCCTGTTATCTGCATACTGACTTTGCCAAGGGTTCGCCGCGCTGAGCTGGAGTCGCCCATATCATCTAGACAATCCTCGCCAGACCCCGATCTCGAAGAGCTGCTGCGATCCAAGATAAACACCGAGTTTACCTATACCACAACCGAAGATGATGTTCACGACATCGCGCAAAGCGACCAAGACGAGACGGAGCTGCGGCTCTTCGCTGCGCCCGCAAACGCTGCTCCACAATCGCTGAAGATTAGAATTTCATCGCCAGGCGCCGATAGCGGAGAGCCAGGACTGATTCTGAAGAAGCCACGGAGCTATTATTTCGCCGACGAGCCCACAAGCGAGGAGGAAGACGCCTTCAAAGCGGCCGCCATCGAGGGAAGGAGCGTCCTGGAGCTGTCGCGGCAGCTTTGGCCCGGTTGCGCCCTGCCATGGAAGGTGCGCACCATATCGCCGGCCGGCATGAGCAAGGAGGTCCTGGTCGGTCACCCTCCTATGCTCGTCACGGTCGAGGACAAGGCACACAAGCGCACAAGAAAGGGCAAGAAGTCACGCATAGCGATACGGAAGAAGCTCCAGGCGGTAAAAGAGAAGCAGACTGAGGCAGCACGTCTTGCGCAGGAGAAGGAAGAAGCCAAGCGTGAAAAGAACACTCGGAGAAATCGAGAGAAGAAGCTCAAGAAGAAGGCGAAGGAGCAAGCGAAGAAGGCAGCTGATGGCGCCACAGACGGGGCAGCAGAGGCTATGGATGGTGTGGCGGAAGACACTGTGACCGAGAGTCATTCTGTTCCTGATGGGTCGATATGAAGCGCATCATTGCACCTCTATTATCTCATCAGCGTTACGAACGAGACGGGCATCAGACGCATGACTTCTACGGCTGCAAGTAATACTTGCTCGATCATAGGCACCCTTCACCTGTGCCATGAGGCTACCTTTACCTATGCGGATTCTACGCTAGCAAATACCTCTATTTGTCGACTATAACTGCTTCGTTTTGGTCTACCTGTTTCCATCAACTTACACTCTACGACCCACTCAACTGCCAACATGAACCAGAACTACAACCAAGAGCATATGAACTTTGACAGCGCTTCTGGTGTCGGCCCGCAATACGCCCCGGTATATCCTTATCTCCAGGAGAGGTTCGGACCATCTACACCACAACACATAGACGAGACCTCAGCTCCGCATTACGGCTTTCATAACCACGGCACGAATGGCTACGACACGTTCATGTCTGATGTAATGCCGCCTGGTGCTCACTACGACGGGTACCACAGACCTATGACACCTGAGAGCACACCACATCTTATGGAATCGAGTGATGCCCAGTTCCATGTTGCAGTTGAAGAATCGCACCAGTATACTGCAGATATACAAGAGGAAGAGCCAGACTTCCCCCCAGACTTCTGGAAGACTCTGGTTGATTTCGAGATCCCCGACTTCACCCAGACTTCCATCAACAACATACCCGGTATTCAAGCCTTATACGTCGCCTATCTGTCCCACTATGGACCACTGTCAACTGCGACAAACGCAACTCGCATGCAGTACGCCAAAGCCTTTGCTTTTGCTCTCCTCACGCACTACTATCCCCCGTCACATAATTACACGGTGGTGCCCACTTCCCCCGGACCCGTGGCAAAGTACGGGATGTACTTCATCTTAGCTGCCGACGATAAGTCAGATATCTGGAAAGAGTTCCACAAGAATAAAGGCAGGGCCTTCCGCCGTAAAGTACCAACCAAGAAGGAGCTCGAGAGGGCGGAGAGAGAAGAGCAAGACGCCAAGGTAGCAGAGTACGCCCAAGGTATTACGCAACTCTTCAACCTGCAGTGGGATCATATCGCGCCTGAGGACATCGCCGCTTTCGTGGTCATGCGCAAGACGATAGCAACGAATACTGAGACTGGTGCGATCACGCAAGAGCAGCATCCGTATACTTACTTCGCCATTATGATCGACAACTTCGACGAAGTCCCTCGCCTCTCCACGAGCAACACCATGCACCGCAGCGGCGTTCTCACTGATGCCCTGTGCCGAGGCGGCAACATCCAGAACGGTCACGGCATGTTGCTGTACGGTCCGTGTCTAGAGTTCTACGCCTTTGATCGCGGACACGATTGGGTCTACCTTGACGACGAAGAAGAGAGCGAGCAGGGAACTCAGGATATTGAGCCTAAGATGGAGGTGCTGTTATCGGGTGGTCAAGCTCTGGAAATGGATATGCGCACTACCGGTCTGGACATGGTAGACGCAGCGTTTCGAGATGTCGCTGTCAGAGAGGTGGTTTATGCAGCTGAACCAGAGGCTATTCCGGCCGAAGATGCAGGTTCAGCACATGGTGAGGACGAGATGGCGGAGTACTAAGGACGCTCTAGCGAAGTGGAAGGCGAAAAGCGCATGCAAAGGTCCATTGCTGGCAAGCACTTCCCTGGCGATAGATAAAAATCTACTTTGATAAGACAGGTGTACTTCAGTTTTGCTCACCCTTCGCGTTGCTTAAAGGATGACGGGCTTTGGACGTCCCGCAAACGGTCGCTAGGCATGTCCCACTTGCGCGGACACAACTCCGATGCCTGCCACAACGTAGCCTACGGGAGCGTCCGCCCGCTAGCTGATATGCCTGTCATACTACTAATGTAGCGAAGGGCCGAAAGAAAGTGTTGAGTTGTGCATAAGTGTTCATTGTAGTAGGTTGCCTGATAGTGTATCTCATCTTCACTGTATGCAAACAAGTCATATATCCAGACAGGCGTAATGCCTCGGCCCCCTACGATCCTCCATCACCCCACCATCGATCCAATCCATCTTCTGAGCAGCCTCCTTTGCAATCGCCCTAACTTCCTCAGTCAACCCCTCCATTCCAGCAAGTTCTCCAAACCTCTTCTTCCAAAGCGCCCACCTCTGCTTACTGAACTCCGCTCTACCATCCCATAACGGTCCACCACTACCTGGATCCCCCTCAGTCGCCTTCTTTGGGGTGAGGTCTTGTTCTCTTTCGTAGACTTGTTTACCCATAGCAAAGATCCAGACCGCAGCAGAGGGGATGAAAGAATTGTATTTCTGTATTGCTGTGCCATTCGCATCGTCTTCGTGTGGTGTCTCGAGTGCACTGCGCATTTGCCAGATGCAATATATCCAGAAATTGCGGATGTTCTCGCGCGTGATGAGAGCGTAGAAGTAGAGCATGTTGGCGTATGCGTGCACTTCTTGTGTCATGTAGCCACACTGGCCTCCGGGGCCGTCGTCTATACTCTCGCGAGCGGCCATGCCGAAGCGGCGGAGGCAGGTGTACATGTCTGAATCTTTGGCAGTTGGGGGTGGAAAGCTCGCTTTTATCGTCTTCATGAGGGTGACGAGCTTGTTGAGACCGTTGGTGTCGCGGAAAGAGAGGCGTTTGGCGGAGTGGATTATGGAGTACCAGATACTAAGGAAGGGGAGGTGCTTTCTGTTTTGGAGCATGGCTTTGTTGATGGGGTCGAGCAGTTTCTTCGTAGCGTCTTTTGCATTGGTGTTGTTGTTTAAGTAGTCTTGTATGATTGCATAGAAATGATTGTCTTCGCTTGGTCCAAAGCATCCTCGCTTCTTCATGATAATGTCGATTTGGGTGGCTTCATCTTGAACGTTGGCGATGGCCTCCGCAATCTCGCGGTATTTTCTTTCTCTTCGTTCTTCCCAAGACATCTTCTTTGATGACAACTCCATGGTTAGGAACCGTTACCGGTCAGAATGTGGTGTTTTATGTTCGCATACAATCTCAAAGTTGAAGTACGCCCTTCAGCCCTTCAGGCTGCCGTCTCAAAGCGCTAGTTTGTGACAACATGCATGCTTGCGCATGTAGTGGAGATTTGCCATAGGCGTTCTTGAATGCTGCCCCGCCATTCGTGCCAGTCTTGTCCTAAATTACTGGAGTAAGCAGGCTATAGAAACGTCGGGGTATGGCCAGTAGAGTAGCGCACAAGTCTCGAAGAGCTTCAAGACATGTTTTCCAATCAGTGACCCACCACAAATGGCAGCATAACTCGCGGTGTTTCAAGATTCAGGACATGCCTGGACGTGCTGCTTTACATGAAGCGGTCGGGCGACGCGCCTAATTTCGATCGTTGAAGCTGGGCGCGCAACGGTGTGTACTATGAACGAGAACCGCTTCAGATGATTGTATCGGCTCAAGAAAGGTCGCGCATATGGCATGAACTGGTTGGATCACACATAGTGGAAGAGTAGCCAAGGTTTGGGGTGAAGAAACGTTGGAGCGTGGTGTTGGTAACCAGGGTCTTGCTCCCAAACGCCCAGTAAATTGGAAACAGCGACCCGGGCGCGACCCGACTGCCTCGCACCACCACTAATCTCCAACACCGACACGACGGCATAAAGTGTCCACCACGCGCATCGGCCGCCCACACCCTCGAACGGCGATCGCACACAATCATGTCGTCCTACCTAAACAACCTCCTTACGAACACGACTTCGCGCTACAACAACCTGCGACGACAGATCCTCTCGGACGAAGCAGACGGCGACACAGAAGACGACTCGCATCTTTCCAGAGTTCTTCGCGCATACTACACGGAGAAAGGACGGCCGTTCCCGCAATGGCTTCCACCCGACCCAAAGGCGCCCCAACCTGCGCCCGCCCAGTTCGTGTCTTCGCGGCAACAGGCACAAGCACAAACAGCAGGCCGAGGAGGAGGCTTGAACGACCTCTGGGATAATCCCGCGCCACAACAACCGCCGCAAGAACCACAGTCACTTCGCCGAGGGCCAGGAGCACGGGGCGGTGGAGCGCGTCCCATGCAAGGCCGGCCCATGGGCAACTCGTTGACGCCAGATCCTCAAATACAAGGCAGACCACTGCCCAGCCAACGAGCAGGGAGCTACCAAAGCTCATTGGGAGGACGCCCACAAGCAGAAGCTTCACCACCACCGAGCGCGGGTACAGGGTCGGGCACAACAGCACAGGAAAGGCTCAAGGCCAGGTTATGGGGACGGTCACAAAGCCCAGCACCGCGTGGACTTTCTTCAGAATCTGCCAACTCGCAATCGTCTCCGCAAGGTGGACGGGCGCCCTACCCTGATGATCGGAGTCACAGCTATGGAAGTACTGGTAGCGGCGGCGGGAGACCACAGGGCTCATTTGGCATGTCATCGAACTCACCATGGAGCGGGAACGATGATCCGTATGCGCCCCAAGGTGGAGGTTATGGCGGCGGCGCACCTCCACCACAACGCGGACCGCAAGGTGGACGAATGGGCCTGCCGAGCGGACCACGCATGCGTTGAGCTTGTTCTTGTTGTATGCAGCACGGCGTAACGGAGTTGGATCTTGGTCGTCACTGGGTGGGCAAGCATGGGGTTTGTAGACCTGGACAGTATAGACAAATACCTAATCAATACATTCAGCTCATAATCGCTTCAAAGCTTGATTTCGTTCAGAGCTATCGTGCGCACAGTGTCGCGAACAGAGCACATTACTCGATGCGATAGGGCTGGGGGGCGACGCGTTCCCCGCCCGCGGGTGGCACGCTGCACAGCCACAGCCCCGGCCCTGGCGCGTCATCGGGTGCAGGTCACTGCCCGCAAGCATCACCTGCAACTGCATAGCGCCAAACGGGTACGCGCCTCTTTCTTGCTTTATCACCGTACTACTCTGAATATCTCCTGCGCATGCTATCTGGCCATCTTACTCGGAACCCATCACCAACCTCTACTCCGCGTCTTTGGGACGCCGCCTAGCCCCGCATGACTTCGTCGGCCCCAGCGCCCCCATCGCCCTCGGCCAGCTTCTACGACCTGAGCGACGACGAAGAAGGCGAATACAACACGATCCGCCATACAAGCAGCGGAAAGGGTGTGAAGTTACTATACACCAAGAGCAAAGTACGTAAAGCCTATCGAACGCAGCATGATGGAAGTAGGCTAACATGTGCAGGTCTACGTGCATCCCTCGCCTTCCTCCAAAGACAACATCCCAGGCTTCGTCGCTCTCGTCCAGCAGAAGTCTAACCGGACCGTTAACGATGCGCGCCCGACCTCCTCCTCCTCCGCTCGCAGCGTGAACGCGTCATCGCTGCTCCTCGCCTGGATACCAGAGTCAAACCTCGGCGATGCATACGATACATACGTCAAGGTCGATCTGTCAGACTCGTCATCACCTCCCAGACAGTCATACCTCGTACCTCCGCCTCCCACTCCATCTACACATGCCGGAACTCCCGGGTATGCATTCGCCCTGCCTGTCAGCGAGATATACTCCGTCCTCATACGGCCACCAAGCATCGGATGGTGGTTCGGAAGCGTCGTCATCAACACTCGTGCTGGAGACAGTTTCCCTGCGCTCTTCTTCCACGATAGCGAGTGCCAGTCTACCATAATGCAGCGGAAGAAGCTAGCCAAGGAAAGCTTCGATCCGTTTGGCGACGGAGGGGGCATGTTCTGGGGCGGCGACGAGGTGCTGAGATGGCTCAAGAGATATGTCACAGTCGAACGGTCTGGTGCTGACCCAAGCATATACCTTATCGACCCCTCGGAAGACGACAAGCGATCCTTCGGCAAAGACGTTGCACCAAGGAAGAGCACCGAAGGCAAACCAGACGCGTCATCTTCGCAGTCTGGTAAACGGGACGGTGGCATGGATCCGGTCACAAAGGCGCTCAAGGAAGCAAGATGGAACTTCCTCGAGAAGCTTAGCCAGGTCACCACCTTCACGCGAAGGACTGCTCAAGCCGTCGCCGACAACCCCAAGATTCCGCCTCAGGTTAGACGCCTGATTCAGAACCCAGAGGTCCAGACACTACAAGAAGAGTTCGACAGCGCACGGTTATACCTCGCAAGATGGGCTATGGGCATTGCAGAACAAAGCGAGCGGGAACGGAACCAGCGGATATGGACAGCAAAGGACGTTTTGGCTATGGAGGAGAGCGATGTCGGCGACTTCGAGATTCTTGACATGGATAAGATGACCATGGCCGACCGAAGAAAACCTGTCACGTTGGAAGAATGGAAAGGATTCTTCGACTCCAAAGGCCGGCTACAACTTACACCGGACGAGGTCAAAGACCGCGTCTTCCATGGAGGTCTTGATCCTGACGATGGTGTACGAAAGGAAGCATGGCTATTCCTTCTCGGAGTGTACGACTGGGACAGCTCAGAGGAAGAGCGTCGCGCGAATATTAACAGTAGGCGAGATGAGTACATCCGACTTAAGGGCGCTTGGTGGGAGCGAATGGTTGAAGGAAACCAGAATGAAGAGCAAGAGGAATGGTGGAGAGAACAAAAGAACAGAATAGGTATGTACCCTTCCGCGTTACACCCTTTCTTGAAACCTGGCTGACTTGTCCCATTCTATGGGGTCCGTTGTGTAGAGAAAGACGTACATCGCACAGATCGCAATATCCCCATCTTCGCCGGCGAGGACATTCCTCACCCGGACCCCGACTCGCCTTTTGCGGAAACTGGCACCAACGTTCACTTGGAGCAGATGAAAGATATGCTTCTTACGTACAACGAATACAACAAGGATCTCGGCTACGTTCAGGGCATGAGCGATTTGCTTGCGCCCATCTATGCAGTCATGCAGGATGATGCTGTCGCATTCTGGGGCTTTGTTGGATTCATGGAGCGCATGGTATGTACACATGCGATGTTTATTGTGATCACGTACAAGAACTGACACGCATACAGGAGCGCAACTTCCTACGCGACCAGTCCGGCATGCGCAAGCAGCTCACGACGCTCGACCACCTTGTACAGCTCATGGACCCCAAGCTGTATCTTCACCTTCAGTCCGCTGAGTCTACGAACTTCTTCTTTTTCTTCCGGATGCTGCTCGTCTGGTACAAGCGCGAATTCGAGTGGCCAGATGTACTGCGGTTGTGGGAGTCGCTCTGGACCGACTACCAGAGCAGCAACTTTCACATCTTCATTGCACTAGCTATTCTGGAAAAGCACCGAGATGTGATTATGGCGCACCTGAAGCACTTCGATGAGGTGCTCAAGTATGGTAAGTTATACAATCAAAGCAGCCCACATTAACAGTGAATGATGCTAACATTATCTTAGTCAACGAGCTTTCTGGTACTATGGATCTCGAATCAACGCTCGTTCGCGCGGAATCGCTCTTCAAGAGATTCCAACGAACGGTAGAGACAATCGACAAGAAAGGCAACTTTCCCTCCGCTCCGCAAGCCCGGCAACGCAAGTTGGCTGCTGCGATCGTCGCCGGTCCCGGGCCAAGTACGGCGTCAAGTGCGTCACCAGCGAAAGACCAAGCGTCGACTTCCGGAACAGATAAGGGCAAGCAGGTCGGCGAAGAAGAGCAAGATGAAGCGAGGGTCATCAGTCCTGAGCTACGTGCACTGCTAAGCAGGAAGGTGGAGAAGCTCGACAAGCAGACTATCTTGGAGCATGGCGGTGGTGTTGGCAAGTAAAGTCGGCACATGTCTCATTTTGTTTAATTGTTCATTGGGGGCGGCGTTACGGCACATTTGGATACTTGTGCGGGTATATCACGACTGCTCGAACCCAATGAGACCCCGGTGGTAAGGTCAGGTACACGTGCGATTTTCGAATCGCATCTTCATATTTATCTTGCATATTGTTCCTCACCTCACGCCTTGGCCGAACATCGAACTTCTTGTCGCTTCACCGTTAGCCACGCGCAAGGCGTATGCTTCACTACTTTCGCTGTCATCCTCGTTTTGCACTGCAGTCAATCAATGTAAGTGTCCGCCTTTGCGCTCACGTGTCTATCTTGCAGGTCCATCTTCACAGACAGAGAGTTTGACCCCCGTCCACGCAACATGCACAAACCGCCAACTGTCACCTTTCGCCATTTACATAAAGACGAGTATAACAACAGCAGGCCTTCAATGAATTACCTCAACCGCTTCATCGATCGCCACTCTCCAAACCAGCCGCCGCGCAACACTGGGCGTTCTGTACAGCCTCCCAACAGTCCCGCCACCTCTCTCCACCGTCACAGATCTCGGTCACACTCTCACCATCGGCACAAGCATCACCATCGCGGAAAGATGGCATCCTTCAACGGCCCTTGGTCAGGCGATCTCGACGCGTTCAAGAAATCGGTGCAGTCGATGCCAAATCAGTACAAGTCGTCCTTCGCTGCCGCGTCCAAGAGCACTCTCGAAAAGGTCTGCGCCCCAGGTGTCCTTCACATCTGGGAGACCGATTCCGATATCGACAGCCTACTCCAGCTCACTTCGGTCATCGCCAAGCTGTGCGACCTCGGCGTGCGCAAGAATAAGGGCGCGAACGAAAGTGATGGCAGTATGCTGATCATTGCTGAAGAGAGTCGAACCAGGAACAATTTCGGTCGCATATGCCAGTTGGTTGAGTATCTGACTGGAGCTGATGGCAAGAAGCATCTCGAAGGCACCGTGGCGGTGTTCAGCAAGATTGTGATAGTGAGGGGATGGGATAACGGCGTTCTATCTGGACAGCAGGAGGCGCTCGAGAAGACAGTGAAGAGAGTCAACACGGCTGTCGAGCAGGTACTGAAGATGGGCGGATTGAAGAAGATAGTCTGGCATCACGGCGCTGTACTGCACTTCCTGCTACAGTGGATCAACATGACAACATCTCCTCTACGATCCGCTTTATCTGCAATCACCGTCACTGGATCCCTCAACCTCGCGGACGGAATAGCACCTTCGGTATCTGGACGAGCGAACAAACTGCCAGATCTCGAGCGCCTGGAACAGTTCGCGAAGAAACTGGACATTCCTGTTGTCTTCCTCGATGCACCTAGTCAGATGCTTAACTTCGAGTATCTCGGTACGTATGTGTACTACTACGCTTACTACATCAACACGTTCCTTCCCACCTCGCTGTCGCGGCCTCACCTCCACAAAGCGCAAGATGAGCTCGTTACCTTTGCATTCCGGCTCCGCGCTGCGAGTGAAGGCAGGTACGGCAGTGACGCAGTCAAGATGGTGCAGAAGCACCTCGATGCGGGTAAAGCGAAACACTGGGCAAGAATGTGCGTGAGCAAAGACAACTTCGACAAGAGCAAATGTCGTGCAGCTGGTAAAGACGAGGCCATACACCACGCTGTTCAGCTAGCAGATAGCCCATTCGCCCTTCTAGCCCACGGCGCAGGCGTCCCTGCATTCGCCAGACTAGCAGTCGGTCCCGCCTCTGCTTCCGCACAAGACTACTACACCGCAGCGCCCGTCAATATCGCCTTCACCAAGTCGCAAATCCGACCCACCAGCCCAGCCACCTTCCACATCCTCATCCCACAATCTTCTCAAGATCTCGAGAAAGTCACAAGCCGCGTCCAAGGCCTCATGATGGCCGTGCTAGAGCGCGTAAGACAGGAGAAAGGCAGTCCTGTGCTCGGCGACACGGAGAAGGGGATGTGGAACGCGGTTGTCAAGGCATGTGAATGGGCGATTGGGGGATGCGACGAGAGTAAGATGCCTAAAGGTGTGGCGAAGAAAGTTGGATTCGTCAAGGGCAAGTTGAGGGAGGGAACTTGGGGGTTCGCGCTGAACCCACCGAAAGATGTGGGGAAGACGGCTACAACTAATGTGGCTGCGGTGGCTGCGATGCCGGAACCTAATCGAACATATGGGTTTGGACAGAATACGCAGCAGACTAGGGGGTCGCACCTGGCATATAATGGGGCTGAGCAGCCGCAGCAGATGCCGCAGCAAGGCTATGGAGGGGCAATGCCACAGGGGCCTATGCCGAGTCCTGTTCAAGGCGCTGCGTATGCTCAGCGGGTGCCTGGCCAGATGCCAGCGCAAGATATGTACACTGGTGGTCAGGGTCAAGGTCATATTCAAGGTCAAGACTATGGCGGTGGTCACTTCCCTGGCGGACAAAGTGCGGTGTTGCCGTCGCACCGTGGGTTTGAACATGGGGGAAGGGGCGGTGGATACCCACAGAGCATGGGTGGCCCTTGGTGATTTGCGTCACAACTTGACGGTGCATAAATGACACGATTGGATTTGCATACATGAGTATACTGGTACGAGGGAGCATGTTGATGTACTTGAAGTGGCTGCTCATGATGATGATGGATTGATTTGAAAGCTAACCCGATTTGGCTGGATACAAAGATGGCTGGGTAACGACGTGTGTGGGCAAGCACCCACCGGGTCACGACGCGTCTACTTCGCTCGCGCGTCGTGCATCACAAATACATCGACATATCTCGAGCCATGGCGTTACAAGAAGACCCTGGCGGATTTACAGCAGTCGATGCACACTGTCTCGCGCGAACGGTCTGCCCCTATACAATCCGATAACAGTACATCCCATTCACGCGTCTTCACAAAACTAACCAAAATGCAACTTCGATGACCGGCGCGCACCAGACCAGGTTCCAATCCGAGTGAAGGGTGGATTACCTTCTTTGCAACCCTATGAACAGCCCATCATGCGGCTACCTTCCATCTGTTCTCCAAGCTACCTGCCGAACTTCGAGCTTCGATCTGGGGGTTCGTACTACAGAACGATAAGGCTCACCATCATGCGCAGCATGGAACGAAGACGAATAAAAGACCTACTGTCACGATTACAATGCTGTGAGCGAGACTGTATTTTGGAAGAGACTGGTTGCCTTGGCGCGAAACCCCATCGTCGTTTGTGGAATACTGAGCTTGAGGACTACATACGGTTGCCATGAGTGTGTTTGCTGCACGCAAGTCAGGCTTTAGGGGAGTCACTCACATGTGACGTCTATTTCGCAATGTCTAGCAATCATGTTGCTGCATATAATACGCCCATTACAGGCGACAGAAGGCGGAACCACAACCGAGCCTCAAGACATGCCTCCAAAAAGCACGCCTCAGAAGAACACTTCCAGCCCAGGATACTCAAGCGAACACTCCCCCGACGAGCCAGACCAGGAAGTCCTGTCCGATTTTGAGGAAGAAAGCTCATCTTCCAGTCCAGAGTCTCCACCCAAAGAGAAGCGAGTCACCACTTCCGAAGGCGAAGACGACGACCTTGTTACCGTGAGCAAAAATAGCACACCCAGTCCTACCGCAAGCACCATCCTGATAAGGTTTGAACTTGAGGATACTCTGCTGGCAGGTAAGATGAACGAGAAGTGGAAGAAGGAGTCGAGTGATGCAGAGAGGGCAAAGAAGCTGCAGGAACTGCTGGATAAATGCACTGCCAAGAGGGAGGAGGGGGGAAGAGCGGCGGTGGAAGAAATGAAGAGGAGAATGGAGGAGGATGACGAAGAGGAACAATACGAGGGAAAAGGTAAGGGTAAGCAGGTCTAAAGGTACATCAACTTAGACGATGTATAGACAGCAATGTAGTCACTCTGCTGCATCGCTATCTACTGCAATGTGCGTAATACATGTAGGTCATCTCCGATTTAGCAGTCGACGTTGAGTGAGCCAAGATTAACATCTCGAGGAAGCCAATCCAGTCACATTCACCCATCACATATTGCCTTTCACTTTCACTTTCTTTGAGCTATCCTGTCCAAGGATCAATAAGCCCGTTTGGTGACAAGGTCCACAATGGCCAGCTCGACAATAGAACAAAGAGAAAGGCTACCCATTGTCGCCCGTGCAAACATAGTTCAAAAGAGATGGAAGAACTATCGACGCGCGGGAAGTCATCACATCCGAAAAAAATCTTCATGAGACTATCGCAATCTCGCATCAATTCCTACATCATCTACCGTTATCGACTGCATTAGATCAACATGCCTCCGATTACGCGGCGCCAAGCAGCCACCGCCCCTATACATCTCCCTCCCGCACCTCCTCCCCGAAGCCATCGGTCTCGCTTGCCACGTGGAAGGAATCCTCGCAGACCTGCGATTACGAATGCAATTAGCAAAAGATGGCCAGAAGGCCGTCCCGACAAGCAGCCCCGCGGCATTGGCAATTCGGGAAACTCTTGCTACATGAATAGCGCTTTGCAAAACCTCGTCCATCTTCCAAAGTTCTGCAGCTGGATAAAGCAGCATAACGATGCAGCTCTGGGCGCGGATTGGGCTTGTCGCGCAAACGATCCGAATCGCCATCTACCGGTGAATCAAACGGAGGACCAAGTGCTCCTTAAGATGGGCGAAAGCATTAAGCAATGCGTAGCCTGCTTGGTAAAGGCTTTTGTCTTGGACTACTGGTCGAATGCTCGGGAAAATGGAAACAATCCTTCTATGAATTTTCCCCACACACGTCCTAGCGTCAAAGCGTTGAACGCCATGGCTAGACGCTGGTCCACTGAGCCCCCCAGCTCCTCTGGACTCACTAAAGCGCAGGGAGAACCAGAGAATGCTTTCATAAATCGAAAGCTTAACAACGAAAGCGCCAGTGACCGCAATGGGCGCAGGAGAAATGCTGCTGGCCAGCAAGATTCTGATGAGTTCTTGATGAGGTTGCTAAATGCGTGTAAAGACAGTATCGATCCTGGGTAAGTACTCTCTTCTATTCACCCGTGTGCAAATCACTGACTCTCTCAAAAGTAATCACCAACGACTGGACGAGTTCAACTACCTCTTCACTCTGACACGGCATGAAGAAATGCGGTGTACACATGGCAGTTGTACACACCTCCACTCCATCGACGACTACAACATCACCAAAGACCTTGGTTTCTCAAATGTCATGATCGCAAAGAATAGCCATAATCATCCTGATCTGCAAACTGCCCTGGTAAATTCGACATGGCTGGACGTTGAAGATATGCCGGTAACATGCGGAGCCTGCAATCATACGAGAGATGTCAAGAAGTTCAAGTCGATCGAAGCCGCGCCCGAGTATCTTCGGATTAACCTGGAACTGAATACTTTTGACAAAAATGGAGACCAAGTATTCGACAAGGATGACCAAAGCCTGCCGATCAAGAATACGCACCCCATCATCATACCCAATGAGCTCGATCTCACTGCGCACGTTAGTCCTCCGTCTTCACAGCTCCGGTACAAGCTCATTGGCAAGATCATTCACTCCGGTAATCTCACGCGAGCGGGTCATTATACCGCATGCGTGACAACCTGTCCTCGAAAAGGCAGACAGAAGAAGGACAGTCCACCACCAATAAAACACTACTTTATCAATGACGATAACCATCTCTTCCCTTTTCCAGGGACCGACATACACCCGCTCACTCATAATCCAGAGACCCAAGGTGGCACCGATTTTGAGGCCTCGACTCTGATATACGAAAGATTGCCCAACAGACCAGGGCCAGTTGCTGAGCTGTATGAGCCACCTGGAAGAACTGGCGTTGTCGGGGTCGTATGGAGGAAGGGGAAGAAGGAAGGGGATCAGGGTGAGAAGAGAAAGAGTGATGAGATAGAAGATGAGAAAGTCGAGGAGAAAAACACTAAGGAGACAGATGAAAGTAAGGGCAAGAAGGAGGCATCTGATGTGCAAAGTCAGGAGCAGAAACCGAAGAAACGGTCAAAGACTTCCGAATCTACTGACCAAAGCTCTTGGGATACCCTCCGTCAGGCTTACAAACTGACAAAGATCCCCGGACCTCTGGACCAGCGCACTTGGACTGCCTATAGTCAGCTTGATGGTTTGTCGAAGACCCACTCCTAGGCTTTTGGATAAGCTCGCGTAATCTGTAACTATATTTTTATTGATTTAACTACGTTCACCCACCTCTCTTGTCGTTGCCTCGTTACGCTGAAATGGACCGGAAAGACCCAGATTCGCACCATGTATCCTCTACGCCTCATTTTCCCTCCTAACATCAGAGACAGACAGCTCAACAGTAACATCCTGTACAGGATCGAAGATACTACTAATCTGCTCCAGCGACAGGCCCTTCGTTTCCGGCACATAGAAGAAGATAAAGTTGATAACCGCGACCAATACACCAATATAGACCAAGTAGTATTTCCAAGCAATCTTGTCAATCGCCACGGGGTTCACGAATTGGTTGAAAGTGATAGACACGGCTTGCGATACCCAAAACACACTTGTGCCTTTGGTCCGGAGATGACTAGGCCAGATCTCGTTGACGTAGAGGATGGGTATGGGTGTCAGGCCAATGACGTAGCCCCCGAAGAAGAGGAAGAGGAAGACGATGACGGCGTAGCCTGCGGATGCGGAGCCAGTGGTTGAGTAGAGGGCTGAGCAGATGGTAATCAGCACCATGAAGACCAACATTAGGCTCGTGGAAGTTAAGAAGAGGCGGCGTCGACCGGCCTTTTCGCATAACAGTGCGGCTGCACAGGCTAAGAGCCAGACGTAGACTTGAAGCCCGCCGTTGATGCCTTGTTGGTGAAGGGAGTTTGTGATACCGACTGTTCGTAAAACCGGCGCCAAGTAGAAGCTGATGATCCCGTTTCCGACCCATTGAGTAGCTACGGCGATGACCACAGAAAGTACGAGGCGTTTGCGGTTGCCCGGTGTCGCAAGCAATGCCAACCAGCCAGTTGTATTGTTCTGAGCCTCAGCCGCCGTCGATGCGCACATGCGCGCGAACTCGGATGACACTAGCTCATCACCATCAAGTCCATTGGCATGGTATCGTATCATGATAGACCTGGCCTTCTCTTGTTGCCCGTGTCGTACAAGCCACCTAGGCGACTCGGGGCAGAACGTGATCAGACTCAGCTGCGCCAGTGACCAGAACAGCTGAATGGCTACTGGCAGCTTCCATGACCACGAACCCGGTATTCTCAAAGCTCCGTAAGACGCCCAAGCCGCAGTGATGGAGCCGATGAAGTAGCATGTGTTGAAGAGCGCACCTGCAACAGCCCTCTGGCGTGGATGTGCAAGCTCGACGAGTAGGGCGGAGGATGAAATCGTGTTGGAAATGCTCGAAAAGCCGACGAGTATACGCATCCCAAGGAATTGATCGAATCTTGTGCAGAATATCTGCCCCGTAAAGCCGGCTATCATTCCAATGTTGCCATAGATGATGCCTACACGGCGGCCGTACTTGTCTGATAGCCAGGGTGCTGGAAAGAAAGCGGCGATGCATCCCATAGACTGAGCAGCGGTGACTAGTCCGAGCAGCTTCGGGTGGGAAAGCCCTTGGATATCTTGAAAGTATCTGGGGTTGGCAATGAGATTGGAGATGAGGGAGCTGATGTAGCCGTTCGTTATGGCGCCTATGTAGCTTGAAAGGAGCAAGAAGTTGAGTTTCTTCATGCCCGGATCTTTCCACCACTGCGGATGCGTGTTGTTGGCCAAGGTATCCATCTTGAGGTAAGTAGTCGCGATGTTCGTCTCAGTTGGAGTTGGCTGCCAGTCGTACTGCTAGAAGCATATGTAGTTCCACACGGACAGAGTTCGGCACCTAGAAGGATATCTTAACCGGCGGATGTAAGACTTCTTTGACGTTTTCGTATCTGAGTGTCGGTGAAGCCTTAGGAATGATGATCGTCATGTTCCCGGTGCCGCGGTGTAACGTCGTAAGGTCAGGTGCTCACGATCCTAGAATTTACCATGACTCGTAGCGTCATGTACAACCAGCCATTCCCATGTGGCAGGAATCCCTTACCGCGGCGCGGTGATACTCTCCTGGAGGTTGGAGATATCGCCACTTCCGCCATGACTTCCTATTCGTCAAAACCCGCTAGGCAGGACCATCGGGCCAATCAGGACGATCCCGAACCCCCACTCGGGGAATCGGGATACCACAGTACGAACCTAGGAGCCTTCCAAAAGTAAGCTAGAATGCGTGGATTTTATGTCAGTACACCGACTGTCTGGCACACGTTGACATGCTTTCACTTACCCTGGACCCCGACCAACCAGCGTTGGGCTGAGGGGGATGTCTTTGCGGCAACGAGTCCCATTCGTCGCTGTTGCGTTCTTTCGTAGCTTCGGAGGATTAATGAAGTAAGCGTCCAGGAACCGTCTTTGAGTCCGCTTAGACTTGATGCGGTCAAGCAAAAGGTAATGATGCTTGTACAGCTCTTCCAGTGGCCGCGTAGACAAAACCCGAGAGAAGAGCTGTACCCGCCCAAGTGTGTCGCCAATAGAGTCACCCACTCCCGGTGCCTTAGCGAACAGAGTGTCCGAACTGGTTCTTGTCGTACAACTGATTATCGAAAATACTTTTTGGCCTGCCCGCCACTCTCATGGCGGAGTCTTTCTCACTCATATCAGGCCCCACGCGATACTGCCCAGATGTGCCATCTTTAGAACGTCGAAGTACAGGCGGCGCTTCTCATCAGAATCAGCTTTGTGGAGTGCAGCGTCCATGAGCGTGGTCCAGGCACTGATAAGGATGTCTTTGTTGCGACGGAGAAAGCATGTAACCTAACCATTGGTCAGTTCTTCGGGAACGATTGGGAGTGCAAGATGAGGGCGGACTTGTGGTGGAGAGAGATCAGAGGTTTGCACACACGCGGTACCTGAACAGGATCAGGTCAAACCGCTAGATAGGCAAGCGAGCCGTCTACGGTTCATGACCATCAATCTCCAATCACACTAGATTTGAATAGCCTAAAGTAACAAGAAAGTGGACATTAGATACAATTTTCGGTGGAGTCGTTTCGTATATCAATGGTGAAGTTTGTCAGCCATCGAGTTTATAATCAGGCCGAAGTTCAACCGATCACCTTCACAGCAGCTATACCGAGAGGAGATAAATGCTTAAATACGTAGCATCTAGGTACAAGCATCTTCTCAAAGCTTAGCTAATTCACCCAATTCTGTCGTTATTCCTCTACAATCTCCATTCAAACCCCAACAATTGCACCCGTCTTCACAGCTCAAACCACCACCATATCTACGGCACCATGTCCGCCCTTCTCGCCAACAAACCCCTCCTCGGCCCACTCGTCGGGCTCAACATCTGGACCTTTGCCATGGAAGCTCTTCTCTACAAACGAAGAATCCCAGCCCTCTCCCAATACGACATCAGCTTCGACCCGGCAACCGTCAAGAAGCAGAAAGACGAAAAGCTACCGGCCTTCGTCAAGTGGCCTGCGGACAACTTCAACAACTTACTCGAACAACCTACTCAGTTCTATGCCGTGTTGTTGGGATTGAGTCTTTTGGATGTAAAGGAGAAGAGGACCGTTGCTTTGGCGTGGGCTTATGTCGGGCTGAGATTCGTACACAGCATTATTCATGTTTCGACGAACAACGTCTCCCTGCGCTTTCCGGTCTTTGCTGCGAGTTCGGTTGCGCTTCTGGGACTCACGGCCGAGGCGGCATGGAAGCTCATCTTCTAGGGGATTTGGCTGTGGTGGTAATATTCGTGTCGGGGGGAAGATCTAAACAGATATGGGTATCTGGAACAGGCCTAGCTGGAAGTGAAAAGATCAACTCGACTTTTGGCAATTGTACATCAGAAAAAGAATATTCGAGAGGACTTTAAGCATATTTCTATGAAGCCTATGACATTTCTTACAGCTTTCGCATCGCCAGAGCGAGTTTGATTAGTATTGCACAGAGAATAAGATGGTTACTCATTGCATGCTGCGCCATACCTCCTATCTCCCGCAGCCTCTGGGATGAGCTGTCACTTGAACTTTACGCCTGTTGACAAGCTGGGTACGACCAGACAGAAGATGATGACTATCGAGCATGGGTTATGGATGGCGTAGCGAGGAGGTGCCTGCCCTCTGTGTAGTGAGACAGCTCTTATTGAACCAACTTTCCTCCTCTTGTCCATTGCGTAGTGGGGTATCGTAGTATTCGTCATTGGTGGAAGTGCACCGCATGCAACTTCGTATGTCTTGCGTTTGCATCTCCGTATGACCTTCTCGTCCCACGTCTTTCTATTCCATCTTGTCTCTTCGAACTCAAGCCTTCTTCTCCGCTTCGTTCCCCTGCCATGCCAAATTCCATCTCCTCTTCAGCACATCTATGCTCTCCTGTGAGGTCCGGCCCTTCTCTTTCTCCTCGCGATTTATCCGTGTGAAGGCAGCGGCGAGACCGATGGATATGGCGAAAAGAGGGTCGAGACTTCTGCGCGACTTGTTAGTCCCTAGGTCCAAGGTCGACGAGAGGAGGAGGCGCACTTTGATATGATGTACTGGGCCGCCATAACTGCGGGGTCTCAGAATAGTCTTCCGGAAGTGATCCGATTGCGAACAAGTAATGGTTCGTTTAGGCAACTACGACGGTTCTGCAGGTGCAAGTCGACAAGGGCAAAAATTCACGTCGGTGTCTCGATCAACTTCTCTCAGATCGCGTCCATCAAAGATCCACTGCACCTGCATTTGCCGTGGTCCGTGCCTGCCGCTGGAGCTTCCCCACGTCCGCGGTCGCGCCATGCGGACTACTTGGGCAAGCACGCGTCAAAAGCCGCTTGGAAAGCATGTCATTGTTTCAGAAGGTGCTAGAACAGTTCACGTCGCTTTGATTATCCATGTTGTGCATCCAGCCTGCATGCAGCTGGTTGTATGGAGGCGGTTGGGCGTGTGGTGAGGCGGGTGATGGCGTCATGGGTTTCAGCCCGGAGGAGCCGCAAGTCACGCTGCCTTGTCAGGTACAGATAGCGCTTCACGGGATACATGCGAGACGTCACAGATGGGGTCATGTGAAGATAGTGCTCTTGGATTAAGTCTGGTGCATTTGGGCTGAAATGTGATGATGATCAAGCTACAGGTACAGCGCAAAAGAGAAAGCCAATCTGTCCGACCGCCACTCGTCATGTCCGTGGAGCTCCGTCTCCAGCGAATGCATTCTTGCTGTCTTGTGCTTGATCCGCCTCATTCCCAGATGATGTTTGCCTAGTGCTGAGTGCCGAGGAGTCTGCCGTCGCACCAAATCGCTGATCAAGAATACCGATCCATCACCCAGCCCGTGTAGTGTTGCCATGAAATAATGAAGAAACCCGTGATCCGATAACGCCTGTGAGTTCGCCGCGGCCTTGATAACCGATAGATAAGGGGATGCGGGATGGAGTGAGCTCCCTAGATAGCCTCGCCGAATGTGTTCTCGCCAGAGTACCTGTGAGGTTGTTAGCAGCTGCATCGCGTTGCGCGGCGAAGGGATTACGTACGTAATGTACAGGAAGCCATCCTCATCCTTGTGCTCCTCGTATATCGAGCTCATGAGAGCGGCGGTAGGCGGCAGGACCTCATCAACGAAGATGAAGATGGCCTTCTCAGGTGACAGCTTGATGCGCTTACGGATCACGTAGACGAACTGTCCGACGGTCAGGTCGGCGGGTACCAGGTACTTCTTCTTGTCGATGGTCGCGATGTCCGACTTCTCGACCTTCTCGCAGATGACCTGCACCTTGTTAGCTGCGGTCGCAGTGAGGGAGATGAACAGGCAGGAGGCAAACGTACGGGAATGCGGTCGTTGTACTTCTGGCGAATGCGCTCCGCCTCGGCCTTGCGCTTCTCGAACGGGTGCTCGTCCTTGAACTTGGAACGCATCTTGGATATGTGTAAGAGTGATGGGTAGTGTATGTGAGTGTGTGGAGTGAGCAGGCGGGAGTTTTGGTAGTTGTGCGGGTGGAGATGTAGGACGCTGAGGGTGCGGGCGGTGTGGGAGTTTAAGGGCAGGCAGCAGAGCGGGGCGAATCACTTCCAGCCTTACCTAACCAACGCCCAAGTCAGTCACCATCCATGCACATGCCCCATGCAACAGACGACCAACGCTTCACGCGCCAGCCAAGTGCTCTCTGGAAATCAGAGACAGTGCAATCAGCCCTATTTCGTCATGCGAATGCAGCCCTTTTTCACTCGTGAAGAGCGACCTGGTCCTCGTCTATGGCTGTGCTGACCGCTTCGCCCACCAAGTCACTTGCTAAGCTCCCATGACCTGGGTCTCCCGGACGCATTCAAGGTTGAGTCATCCATCGACTTGAGCACCGCCACTGTAGGCAGGCGCCGTGACGCTATCTTGAACTTGACGTAGGCTGCATCATTCCATCGTTCGAAGTCGACGCGTTGGACACGCGCGTTGGCAGGCATGTAGCGCGTCCGACCACCTTGCCGCTCATAGCAACGTAGCTATCTCTTCGGACGCCTTCTATGACAGCGCGAACGAGTACTTCTCCTGCACCGTGAGATGCCCGTCAGGATACTGGGTAGCAGTGCGCACCCTACCTAGCGAGTACCGCCAGCGAACCCTCGCTACCGCATGCTGCGCGTCTACAGATAGGTGCACATGTGTTTTTGAGCACTCAACCCGTTGAAAGCCGACGCCATTACAACTCAAAGTAAGCGCTTTCGCGCGTCCTCACTTTCGTTGTCTGTAACGGCAAGTTTGCCGTATTTGCATGATGCAGGTACCGATACCGCTAGTAGGAGTACCGAGGAGCTCCACTGATGATGCGCCCACCGTGGTGTGATGCACGACAACTTTCCAAACCACGGACTTTCTCCCACAGACTTGACATAAATCAATTCGCGACTATCATACACCTCCAATGATTTCCACGCGGTGAACGTCTTCTCAAGATTCCACACGCCCGCCATGCGTCCATTCCGATCTTCCCTCCGCATCTCAAGAGCTCTCGAGCTCCCCCACAGCCATGCGCCGCAACCAACACTACGGCCGTATCACATCTGCAATAGACAATTACACGCTTCACCAAGACGCCGCCTAGACCTGCCCTCAGGCAAGAAACCGGAGAAGCCGGATCCTTTGGAAGAATGGCGTAATCCTCCACCGAGCAAATGGCCGAACAGGATACGGTTGCTATTTGTACCCTTCATTGGGGCCTTGGTCTACTCCATGGTACACAGAGACCCTGAATATTGCTTTGAACCTTATTGACCATGTCACAGTGGACGGACGACACGATCAAGACCGAAGCACCCTCCATCGCCGAGAAGGATGCCCTGCTCAAGCGTGAGAATGGCGTCTCCGAGCAATCACCCATGCGCCTCCGAATGGAGCAATTCATAAAGCAAAACCAGAAGGAAATTGTGGCTGAATTGGAGAAGGTCGATGGCACCAAGTTCAAGATCGACACATGGCAGCGACCAGAAGGCGGTGGTGGCATCACTTGTATCCTGCAAGACGGCAATGTGTTCGAGAAGGGAGGCGTGAACACCTCAGTCGTATACGGGCGCTTGCCTAAAGCCGCCATACAGAAGATGCGCGCCAACCACAAAGCTCTCGACCCCAACGTCGATTCGCTCGAGTTCTTCGCCGCAGGCCTATCCATGGTCCTTCACCCCCACAACCCCAACGCACCGACCGTGCACCTCAACTATCGTTACTTCGAGACCGCCGACGAGCTGGGCAACACAAACGCGTGGTGGTACGGCGGTGGCTGCGATCTCACACCCTCTTACCTTTACGATGAAGACGCGATACACTTCCACGGCGCTATCAAGCAAGCGTGCGATAAACACGACAAGGCATACTACCCGAGGTTTAAGAAGTGGTGCGACGAATACTTCAGCAACAAGCACCGGGGCGAGACACGAGGTGTAGGCGGCATCTTCTTTGACGACCTCGACGAGACGGAGAAGGATCAGGAACAACTATTCTCATTCATTCAGGACTGCTTGTCTGCTTTCCTGCCTTCCTACCTACCCATCATCAACAGGCGGAAGGATATGCCCTACACGGACGAGATGAAGCAGTGGCAGCAGATCCGTAGAGGACGCTATGTCGAGTTCAACCTTGTGCACGACCGTGGAACGGCTTTTGGTCTGAACACACCTGGTGCACGGGTCGAGAGTATTCTCATGAGTCTGCCCCTTACGGCAAGGTGGCAGTATATGCATGAACCTGCAAAGGGTAGCAGGGAGGAACGGTTAATCGAAGTCCTCAAGAGTCCGAAGGAGTGGGTGTAGAAAGTTCTGACGTGGGTATGTATACAACATAGACATATCATGACGGAATGTACGAGTTGAAGTAGAGACATCCATGTATTGAAATATGTGATTGCTACCATTGATTACGGTCAATGGAATTTACGTAGAAGCCCAAATATTATGTGGCCATGTCAACGCCACGCTATGCTGCAAAAGCCGACCATCGTTGCCTTTTCTGAAGAATGGCCAAACGTCCACGACTCAAAGGAGAAACTGATGTCTAATAAGCCCTAACCTTCTTTCCGTCACCGTTGGCACCAAGATCCGCCTTCCTCTTTCCAAGTACTGAGTCGGGCGTGCCTGGCGCCTCAATGCCAACACCCTTGCCGTAAACCTCCTCAAAACAAGTAGCATGGTATATCTTGCCACCCACGCTTACAGCATCCATCCATACAAAGTCGTTGGCCTCCACATTCCACTGCGTCTCGAACTTGTCCTGGCAGATGGGGCACGGTGCCTGCTGTAGTGTGACGTCTTGTGGTACGCTCACGTAGCGATCCTTGGCCTGTTTCTTCGGTTTAACACCACCTGTACCAGAGGAGCCGTCGTTGGACTGGTTAGGGGCTGTCTCGTCGACTTCGCGGTACTCGATCCACTCCTTTTCGGGAATGTACCAGCTGCGGTGTACACCTCGCTTCGCGGCATCTGGGTCCTTGACTTTGAAATGCCAGTCCATGTGGCGTGCTTTCTTCTCTTTTCCTTCGGGTGTACTCTCAAAGCGACGGCCACATGTGGCGCAGATGTTGGGCTTGGCTTCGTAAAGGCGGGAGATGAGGTGAAGACGAGGCTTCTTCATTGATGCCGTGGTGAGCTCGATCTGTTCCATCAAGCTACCCGGCGCAAGTGGTTGTTGTGTGGTCGACTGGGATTGAATTGGCGTTGAGTTTGCAGGTATACCACCAGGTACACCACCCAGAGCTTTCAAAAGCCATTCGGCGGATCCAAGGGCTGGAGCCGCAGCAACAGGTTGTGGTGGTAACTGAGGAACGGGAGTGCTCTGTACAGGCGTGTGTGGCATTGAGGGCGGCACGGCACCAGGTTTGCTAAACTGCGCAAGCAAAGCAGCAAGATTGGCAGTGGGTGTCGCGGACTGGGTGGGCGGAGGAACCTGAGGTGCCTGTACTGGAGTCGAGACTGGGGGTGGGAAGCCTTGGAATGGCATCTGAAACGGGGCTGGAGCAGGTACTGAGTTCGGCTGTGCTGGAGAAGATACACGTTTGAGTAGCTCTGCCAAGTTCAAGGCAGGTGGATTCGGGGTTGGTGCGGGTTGCGGAGTCGACTGTGGTGGTGGTCGGAAGCCTGCCAGAAGTTGCGCGACATTCGGCGGAGCGTTGCTCGGGGGTGCACCCATCGGAGAAAAGTTGGGCGGATAGCCTTGGGGCACTGCCTGTTGTGGTGGGTACACTGGCGTAGAAGGAGCAAAGGTCGGTGTTGGTGCTGGTGGAGGTGCTAATGCTCGGACCTGCTGACGTACAGCCTCTAGTTGTTGAGGAGGTAACGTCTGTGTGTCCAGGATCTGCTTGAGGGACAGGAGTGCCGACAGTTTTGTACGCAAAGCAGCGTCAGCTGGGTTGTGCGCGAACATGTTCTGTGTTGTGCTAATAAGCTGTGTCAATTCCACCTTCAAGTCGGCAAGATCCACCGATGACATGGGCTGAGCATGCGGCTGATGCTGCTGGTATACAGGTGGTGTAGATGCGTGTGATGGTGGATATTGAGGTGTCGGGGGTTGTGACTGGAAGGTTTGTTAGCGAAAATATCTGAAACTTATATGGAAAACCTACCGGTCGAGCACGCGGATCATTGGGAGCGGCGTACCGTGGTCCAGTTTGCGGCGGTGTGGATGTACCTCTCCAGGCGACATTGAGCGACGGAGGACGAGGAGGGAGCGCGTGTTGCGGCCGAATTTGTTGCTGAGCTGCGCGGAATTTAGCCAGTGCATTCTCGATGTCCTGTGTCACGTCGGCTTGAAACACAGGGCGAGGGTCCATCGACTCGGGCACAGGCATCTTCCACGTCCTCAGCAAGCCTTCCATATTCTTGCGTGTGTTTTGATCCATCACGAGATAGGCGTCCATGAAAGTTCTGTAAAGGTTGCGACCAATGTAGACGGTGTATGGCGTGCCAACATTCTTAACAATCGAATCAAGGACGTAGAGGGCTGGAAGCTTCCATTCGGGGCGAGTCTATGCCATGTCAGTCACCGGTGGGTAAAGTAAATTTGAACTGAATGATAGAGTTGTTAGTCTACACGGTTCCAGGACGTACCGATTGGATATGCTTCTGAAGCTCGTTGGATATGGCTTCCGCATACTCTGTGTTTTCTTTGGCGATGAGGGTTAGATTGCTAATCTCAGGTCTGCTGTTCATCCTCAAATCTTGCAGGGCATCCCGAAAGTCGGCAGCCACTTCAGCAGCTGACACAGACATGATGGGCAAGAATATCTGGGGTTAGACAAGAGGGGATGTGTGCTGTGTTAGAAGACGTGAAACTTGCGCGCAAAGGGCAGGGTGAGCGGCTGACTCTGCGGTCGGGGAGTCGCAACGCTGACGATGTCGATGCCAGATGAACAAGATAGACGATATGCTTCCTCGCTCTCGACGAACACACGTAATGACAGTGCTTGTGTTGGATACTAGCTATGGCCGCGCCAAATGACGCAGTGTGAAGACTGCGCCGGTACAGCTAGGCAGTAACAAACTCGCTCTCCTCCAGCTACTGCAATCCTCCTTCTGTATGTATGCCCTTCCTCCTTCAAGCCAACAATGAGGCGGTGATGCGCAACTGCGGACGTGTCGCAATAGAGACCCAAAGTGACTCAGGTGCTGCGACGACGACGGCGCCTAGTTGGGTGTCGTCTAGGATGAGCCTCGTCAGTTGCGAAGCTGATAAACAGCGTCGAGTAGACTCTGTGAGACGTTGTCGGGGTTGTCGTGATGGTGGGGGCCTGAGGTTGGTGGTCAGGCGAGTGATTTGTAGGAACAAAGGTGGAGGAGCGGCTGCGGTCTTTGACAATCGCGAACCAGCCGCGCCTCCGTTTGCCAAGCCCGGGCCCGGCAAATAGTATCACCGCGCGTCATGGCCGTCGCGCTCCCTTGAACTTTCCTTGACATCTCTCAATCGACGTTCGCGCCTGGTCCACCTTTACCGCGACAAGTCACCGTTGATCGATCTCGCATCCTCCGCGCCTTCTCATCTATACCCCGGTTTCGACGAACCAGGCCCAAACAGCCAGCATGGAGGACGTTGAGTTCAACCGATCGCATTCGAGGTCGCCGTTACCAGCGGCTGGCGACGACCCAGCTGACCCCCTGCGCCCCGAAATCGACGAGGAGAACGCTACCCCGAATCCCCCTATCGGTGATCCAGACCAAGATATGGAGGTGACAGAGGACCGACCCGGCGAGATGCCTGACCAGGATGACATCGAGGCTGGCTTGTCAGACAACGAGTCGGTGCTTTCTGAAGCGCTAGACGATGACCAAATGGACGAGCAGTTTGGCGATTTCGATATTAACAATGTTGCTATTGACGAGCGCCCGGCGCAAGCGATCGACGAAGACAATGTCAAGCAGATTGGTGTACACAAGCGAAAGCGCACTGCTGCTGAGGGTGAAGAGCCGAAGAAGAAGAAAAAGAGGGCTGAAAAGCCTCGCCGCAAGAAGAACAAGGATGGCGACGATGACGGTGATATTGCAGAGGGTGACAGGCGAAGCAAGCGGTCCAAGAAGGCAGGCAGAGTCCGAGCCGCAAGCCCAGAGGGCGATCCAGACGAGCATCTCACTCCGGAAGAGCGTGCGTATGACCATACCTAGACCCTCATATCTACTAACTGTGACTTTAGGACGAAAGAAGCAGCTTAATGCCCAAATCGACAGCATCGTTAGCACCAGCTCGAATCGCCGCCGCAAGAAGGATGGCATTGACCTTGAACAAATGGCCGACCAAGAGATTGAGGAGATGCGCCGCCGTATGGCAGCTGCCGCCGAAGCCGACAACGAAGGTCGAAAGCGCAACGAGCCTGCACGACACAAGCTCAAACTTCTGCCAGAAGTCACCGCCCTCCTGAACAAGAACACACTCAGAGATACTATTGTGGACCCCGAAGTGAACCTTCTCGAGTCGGTGCGCTTCTTCTTGGAGCCCCTAAGCGACGGTAGTCTTCCCGCGTACGACATTCAGAAGGATCTCATGGCCTCATTAGCCAAGTTGCCCGTCAACAAGGACACGCTTGTCGCATCTGGCATTGGCAAGGTCATCATGTTCTACATCAAGAGCAAGAAGCCCGAGTTGACCATCAAGCGACAAGCCGAGCGCCTCTTCACAGACTGGACGCGTCCCATTCTTAGGCGGACAGACGACTACCGCAAGAAGGAGTTTGCCCAGGCCGACTACGACCCGAGGTATGTACTGCGCCTTCATATTTCGCTATATATGCTAACAGCCTTAGTCAAATCAAGACTACCGACAGGTCCGCTGCCAGCAGCCAAGCTGCCGCCTACGCAGCCAACCGAAAGAAGCAGCTCGAAGCCCCCAAGGCATTCCAGCGTGCCCGCATGGAGTCCGGTCCTACTACGTATACCATTGCACCCAAGAGCAATGTTGTGTTCAACGAGAACGCACGCAGTCGTTCGAGCAACGTGGATATCATGAAGCAAATCAGGGGCGGTCGCAGCGGAGGCAGGCGCTGAGCTGGCTCTCACGACGCCATTCACATGCGGTTTGCGTTTTCTTTTCTGTTCGGCTTTAGACAAGGTGATTGATCCGCTGCTCTGGACGTCACATTGGTACTCTGATATACTCTTGGGGTCTACGCATGGTAAAATTGCATAGCGGGCGTTACTTGCAGCTTCAGCGTTGGTGTGTGGGTTAGCCAGCTTCTTGTACACTATCGAATGCAGTATTATTCTTCTGAATGTAACCTGAATTCTGTCATTTCCTGCGTCAACTAGAACTCATGCTCATCATGTATGCTGACCAAGGTCGTGCCGATGATTTGAGGTAAGTATGACATACGTTGACTACGACATTCCCTTAGAGGCTAAAGATGTAGTAAGAGACACTGTCTATGCTATTGAAGCTCTCTGACCTGATGCGGCTTCATAACAGTCCTGAGCTGGAACCTCGATCTTCGAACCCCGCCAAAGAGAAAGATTTTGACCTTTAAGCAAAACGCAAAAAATGACGCTTCTATCACTCTTGCGCCATGTTCTACAGTCTGCAGAGAGCAAAAAGAAGGGAATTTTCCGACACCGGGAATCTGAATCGTTGTTAGAGGAGATCGAACTGAGGGGTAATCGCAGAAGCTTACCGAACCCGGGCCTTGCCGGCACTGAACAGTGAACTGACTCTGCAGATGAGAGCGGCAAATCCTAGCCACTAGACCATATCGGACGTTGATTGGATGAGAAGACGAGGAATTGGTATGAATATGAAGTTTGGTAACGATTGGTCATGTGGTGGTGGAATTAAGGGGTGGAAAAATTTGTACACAGGAAAAGCCCCACTAAGTACAATCCAAAAGGCGAAATTTATACTCCGACCATCCACAAGGCAGCGGCAAAGAGCACATGATGTACCGAACTTGTGGTTGAGATGGTACCGTGGTTGCTGTTGAAAAACCAAAAAAATCGACCGAACCAGAGGACACTTGATACAATCTAATCTACAACGAAATATCTAGATCGAGACCCAGACTACCGATTCTGAACACGTTGACGGTGTCTGCAAAGGTACTGTTGTTGTCCTTGTTGTCCGCCAACTCTACGCCGTCGCGCGTGATAACCTCAGTGCTACCCACAGTGTTCACGTTGTAGAGATTGATGTCATACGTGTTGCGGCCCCCTTCAATCGACAGAATGGTCGACTGGCACTTCTCGTCTTCGGTAACCCGCGAGCAGTTCGTCGAGTAGTTGTTGAAGAAAGAGTACAGGCCTATTCCGTAGCCGAGAATGTTGTTGCTGCGGAGGATGCGCAGACCCCAACCAGATGCTGTGCTGGTGGATGTAGAGTTCGTTCCATTCAGAGGCTTGTGTGTGAAGACTGGGTCAGACAGCGCTGGGTTGTTTGGGAAAGGGAGAGTGGCATCGGGGTTGGGCTGGTAGTAGGCTGTCTCCGTTTGGATCTGGCCCATGAAGACGTTCTTTGTGTCGACGAATTGATATTCGTAGAGAACGTGGTGCTCGACTGCGGTGCCGGTCCTGTGATAGCATTAGTGACTGTTGGCGAAACTACAAAGGTTGGAAAACTCACAGCCATATCCTCCCGTTGATACTCTCAACCAGCAGACCACGGCCAGCATAGAGCGTGAGCTGGCCGTCGCCGTCGAGGTCATGGTCAGAAGTCCACAGCCAGTTGTTCTCCATGTACAGGCCTGCACTGAACTTGGTGAGATGCATAGTCATGTAGGATACAATGCATTCCTCCTTCAGATTCGCGGCAGTGGTCGTAATGTTAGGCGTTGTTCCACACTGCTTGACTTGCTGGTCTGATCCCACGAATCCTCCGATACGCGCATGCACATCCCAAAGACCAGCAGGCTCGTCGGTATAGGTACCAAGATTGTACTCAATCAGAATGGCACCAGCCTGCGCGCCCTTTGTGCTGACGAAGAGATCGGACAACTCCACTCGGCCCTGTTCGCCTGGTCGGGCGATTTGGACGACTGGCTTGGGGTTGGCCATGTCGTTGAAGTAGGCGCCGGAGGAAAGAATCACAGAGGCAAGGGCTTCTCCAATGATGGTGGCACCGGGTGGGATGTAAATTGTAGAGGTGACCAAATAGTAGCCGGCGTCGATGAAGAGGATCTTTCCCTCGGCGTTGGCTTGGAGGATCGCGGCGTTGAGAGCATCGGTGTCGTCGGTTCGACCGTCTCCAGTGGCACCAAGATCACGAGCGCTGAGGAACTGCGACAGTGGGACATCGCCATACTGAGGCTTCGAGCGCTCGTAGTATTTGCCATCCGCACCCAACAGTTCTGTTGGGCGCTTGGTTGGGTCAATAGCGCCGCGCACCTCTACGGGACCTTGAGGCAGATATCGGTGACCGTCAGCCCAAGCTTCGATAGTCGAAGCACCAGAAGATCCTGCTAGGTACGTTCCGTTGGGTCCAGCTACAGCCGTACGGACATTGTCGAGTTTGATGTTCTCCAAGTAAAGGGATCCGGCAGCAGCAGGCTCGGAGTTCTTGGTCCTGGAGGTAACGATACCAATCGGGGTGTTTGTGATCTCGCTGTCAAAGAAGGTGATTGACCCCACATTGACTGCAGAAGGACCACCGTTGGTCATATTGAGTCCAACCTGGCAGTTGTTGATAGAGACAGACTTGTACGTCCAGCCCCAATCCCAGAGCTGCTCGATAGCGGTGGTGACATGGTTGAACGTGATGTTGCGAGTGGTGAATTGCTGGTTTCCGACGATGAACCCCTTGTTTCCACCGTTGAAGACGAGATCTGTCATGAAACCACCGGATCCCGCTTCAACGAAGAGACCCTGGTGTTGCGTTCCGTTTTCGGCATTCATGTTGAAAATCACGTTCTGGATACTCGTCGCCTGTGCAGTTGGCCAATGGATTCCGGTGGGTGAATCCTTAGCCGACATTTTTGTTGTGTCAATGATGAGGTTCCGAATCTGGCGGAAGAAGGTGACCGTAGGACCGAAACCAAGTCCATTGTCGCCGTATAGAGAGCCGTCGATCAGGCCGAAACTTGAGCCGGAGAAGTTGGACGCAGCCTGGATGGTAGGAAGACAGTTTGGGTTTCCGATGATCTTTAATGAGTCAGTCGCAACGTTCCACACCTTTCACAAAAGTGCCCGATCCCAAGTAAAATCCGACATGTTGCATGTACCCTACAAGTATGCACCACATCTTCATCTGTATGTAGATGAGTCAAAAGTCAGTGTAACTTCTAGGGTACGCTTCCTTTTTTTACTTGGCTGACTTTGGTGATCCCATCTTGATTGCACTAGAGGTGTTCATACCTGAGTATAGTAATAGTCGATGATAGCACTCGAGATCTTGTATGTACCACCTGGAAAGTACACAACAGCAGGCTGATTAGTAGAACTCCCGCAAGTTCCAGGCGCACATCTGCCACCATATGAGATCGCTCTCTGGATAGCGGCAGTATCATCATGGACTCCATCGCCGACTGCGCCAAAAGACTTGACATTCCGGAAGACGGTGTAGTTGCCAGGGTTCGGATTGTAGCTAGCAATGCCCTGGTGTTTGATACTTTCCATCCAGTATGGAGCACATGACGTATCCTGATCTATAGATTGGCGAGGTCTTGCGTGGGGATGGGCGTGGCGGGGCGCGAAGTGTAGGTTGGAGGATCCATGGACATAGCCGTTGTTGGAAGGAGCGGACAGCGCGATTGCGCAAGAAGAGTACAATGCCAACACAACGGAAGATGCGGAAAGCAACATCTTCGATAGAGAACGTAAAGAGCGACGGGAAAGTGAACGACAGAAGTTGAAGGCCGTCAGATTTCCGAAAGATCACATATTAATACAGCACAAGTAGGGGCGGATCTTTTGTCGCCCCTGTCATCATTTGGGGTCGTTGTAGGGCCGATCGACCGCGACTACATCCGGCGATCAGCCATGCGTATTTGCTTCGCTGATTGGGCACACAGGCTGCGCGGTGCATTGCTGTTCGGGCTCGGATCGGAATCTGTGGCGTTCTTGTTGACGGCGTGTTTAGAAGATCTGAAACATTTAGTTCACCGGTTCGCAACGGATCATTGCAGCGCCAGCTAGCCCAATGTTAGCTTTCGCAATCAAACCATATACCAATTCCGGAGTCCTGGATGGGGGCGACACAGATTGTACGACCTGCACGTTGGGCGCATGATGCCTCCACGGACTGCGGGCACGCGGGTGCATTGTTGAGTCTCGGCCTCCTGCGTTAGCCTCGCAATGAATGGAAAACCACCACTTCATCTGAGGCAACGCTAACCGCATAGCTACATATCGGGAGAACAAGTACATACGTTAGAAGCCTACATTGTTCTTAGAAGTTGTAATCTGCAAGTTATATGCTGTTGTAGGCCGCTGAATATACTCGCACCTGCCTGTTCGTTCTACATATCTCGCCCCCAGATTTCGGCAGGTGGACGTGCTTGCGGGTTTATTCCCGGTAATTCGACATCACCGCGCCACGAGCTTCACTGACCTGGTTCCGTGCCCTGTGTAAGTTCAAGACAGGGGCACCTTATACGAGGGAAAACCGAACACCCTGGAGTCTACATCAAAATGAAAACATGCAATATAGGTGATCCAACGTCAACCTAGGCTCTAGGGTGTTCAGTTTTCACTTGTATAAGGTGGGGGCGAATGCACATGGATATATGCAACGAGATCCCATAGGAAGGAGCATGTTGCCAGAAATGACAGCATGTGGAAATGACAGAATTGGGGGTTGAAGAAGGAAATGCGCCTTTGATTCAGCCTGGGGCCTGGTCTCGGTTTGGGCTGGTCATCGAAGTATTGGAGGTTGCCAGATTGGGAGGTTGAAGTTGGGATTGATAGAATTCGTGTCAGCTCCAAAGAAAATATGTCAAGGGTATGCGGATTGATGAGTGAACAGCATGTCCGCTCAAGTGTACATCGGTCCGTTTTGCTGTACAGGACAGCTTGTTCGTACAGGAAATCAAACATGCTCGACCTGCCAGTCGGGGTGAGGAGGAATTGAAATCCCCGAAGATTGATAATCAGGTCCGAGTGAAAGACGTTCAATCTTCGAGCAAGCAGTTTGCTTGTCATGCATAGATTGAGGGACAGAAAACTTGATGAACTGCTGTCGGTCGCCCTGCGTGAAAGAGAGTCCTGCCATGCTGAACCAGACAGTCAAAAAAGAGGGTTCAAAGTAATCTCTGCTATTCATGCTGGAGAGAAAGGGCGAGCAGAACGAGCGACCTCGGGACCAGCCTTGCAATGAGGGCGCGCGCAACCACGTGACCGACCGCATCGGCAATATCGCAGCCCAAACGCCGACAATCCAAACTTTTGCGTATCCAAGTGCACCGTAAACGTCATCTTCGAGATACCCAACTTACATACCGCCTGTCGCTTTACAGCCCCTTCTATAGCCTCACCCCACACCTCATACAAGACACCGCCAGAATGTTCGGAGGTAACTTTTGCCAGGGCTTGCCGCATTCAAGACAACGAGGCTGACGTGCATGACAGCACCACCACAACCATCCAAGCAGGAGCTTGCCGCGGCCGAAGCACAGACTATGACCGATATCAAGTGGACGGCAGCCAGCGCTGTCGTGCTGTACTTCTGTAAGGATGATTGGAACTACGTCACGACGGGACAGAGACTAACACTCTACAGCACCACATCTCGTCGAATACGTCTCGAAGCTCTTCTAAGCAGCGACTACTCCCGCGATTACGAACCCGTTTACAGAATTCATAGCGCTGGACATGAACAGGTGTACGCATAAATGGGATGGAACAATGAAGCAACATACCAACGAACTACTGTACAACATACTCGCATGGCACAGGGATACATGCGCCTGTAATATTACTGGTCAAACGGACACAAATACCCTTACAGTATGCATCGGATCGAAGGTCACTAAACGCCATCTGACATACGCGGAATGATGAGACGATAAATATTATGCAACGCTTGATTGTACGCCTTCTATGCATCCGTCCGCTGCTGCATGGTATCTCGCAACGCCCAACTTTTCGCAATATAACCTCTACATCACCTATGAATCGTACATGACAAATGCGCCCTCGTATTATATCCTTATCGCTTTGCTGGCCTTGACTGCTTTGCAGTCTCCCACTCGTCGTATTCGTCTCGGGTGTCGTCGACCCACTTCTTGAGATGCTCGAGTTGTCGGTCGTAGTCTTTGAGAAGCTGAGATACGTTGTTAGTATGTGTGAGGGATTGTGAAATGGGCTTCTTACCTTCTCCAACGCCTTCTGGTCCTCATCTGTAAGAAGTTCACCGTTTTGCTGCTGGTCAATCGTCTTGCCCAGCTTCTCGGTCTCCTCTTGTAGGATGCGCGCCCGCTCCCGCACGCCGGACATGCGCGCCCAGATCTCTTCTTGTCGCCCACCAAGCACAGGATCAAAGGTCTGCTTCTCCAACTCGATGAGCTTTTTCTTCAATTCCTCCTCTGGCTGATCCATAACGTATCCCCGGTTTCGCAAGATCTGGACCTTGGTTGCAAGGGCCAACGTTCGCTGGGTGAAGACGACGTGCTTGCGCTTTGCTTCGGTGATGCGCGATGCTACGGTCAGCTCGTGGGCGTCTTTGAGGAGTGACAGTGCATTGTTGATCTCGTGTAGGCGGGTTCGTAGCGCGGTGACGGCGGCTGCTTGTTGTTTGATGCGTTCTCCAACCTGCTCGAAGCCACGCGCAAGCACAGGAATGGCACCTGGACTTGGCTTCTTGGACAAAGCCTCCTCCCATTTCCGTTCGTCTTCACCGTGCGAGGGGCCGTAGAAGGGCGCTTCTTCAGGCTTGACCGAGTTGTAGAAGTAGTATTGGAAGACGCACTCGGGGCTGCTGGGGTCCCACTTGTTATTCAGGATCCGTATCTGCTCGATGACTGACTTCTCCCCTGGCAAGTGTTAGCGTGACTGAAGCGGTGATTTCGAGGTGCCGTACTGTGACCGTTCATGGTATTAGCAGCGAAAGGTTGCGCGGAGGACTGGCGCAACTGCGGAAGCCCTTCGCGCTGTTGTTGGATGCTTTGCGCCTGAATGTTGTTCAGGACGGGCGCAGGCTGCAACGAGGCGCCGAAGAGGCTGTTGCTCATATTTGGCTGTTGTTGCTGCCCCTGCTGCTGCTGCTGTTGCTGTTGCTGCTGAGGCTGGCCAAACAGACTTGAGCCGGCATTTTGTTGTTGCTGTTGAGGTTGTCCGAAGAGGCTTGAGCCTGCATTCTGCTGCTGCTGTTGGGGCTGGCCGAACAAGCTCGATCCCGAGTTCTGCTGCTGTTGCTGCGGCTGTGTCGAGCCAAACAGGCTATTGGTGTTGTTCTGTTGAGGGGCGGTCGATGAGCCGAAGAGGCTGGACTGTGTCGCGTTCGACTGCTGCGGCTGTTGCTGCTGCGATTGACCGAAAAGACCGCCAGCTGGTGCTGTGGTGCTTCCAAACAGAGTGCCCGTCTTCTTTTCTCCACCTGCCGGGTTTCCAAAGCTGAAAGACATGTTGAATAGAAGTCGTAGTATGCGCGTGTCCTTCTGGGCAGATTCGATAGTGATTCGAACGAGTGACGTTATTCAGGTCGCGGATGGAGGAGCTTCCAATGCTTGTTTTCGGTCGCGCGCAGGCACGCGAAGGAGGCGATCGCTGAAAGTCGCTACGGGTATAATTTACAAAAACAATCAATCGGTGCGCATCCTGGTTGATGAGAAGCAGGAGAGGCGTGTAAAGGCGCGGTGGAGGTGCAGATGGAGCAGTGAGAGATTGTTGTCTCTCGCTCACAAAGGTCAGGCACAAGCGCGGCCCATCGCATCCCTGCCAGTTTTAGTGAGCGCCAAGACCGACTTCCGCGACGACCTCACGAGCATCATCTCCAATTCGTGAGCCGATAGCCCGCCATTGGCACCTCACCCTCAAGATGTCGTCGCGCCAGCCCAGGTAAGCGCTCTCTGCCAACCTCATAGCGCTCACATATGCTGACTAAATGGCAGGTTCAACCAGCAAGCCCTCATCGACACCACCCCTCTACCCGACGACATCCCCAAGGTCAAGGAGCTCGGAGCCAGTTCTGCGCCCCTCCTCAGTGCCTCGTTCTTCATTGGCGCGCGATGCAAGGCCTACAACGATGACTACATGATGTGCAAGACCGAGGCCAACGGCCGGGGAGAGTTCGACTGCATGAAGGAAGGCCGCAAGGTCACCAGGTGTGCGGCTAGCGTGTACGTACTGGCGGAAGGTCTAATACAAGACGCTGGATATTGACAGCTGTGACAGTATCAAGGACATCAACGAGAACTGCCTGGAACAGTTCCGCACCCACTGGCAATGCCTAGAGAACCACAACCAGCAACTGTGGAACTGCCGGTCAGAAGAGCGCAAGCTCAACAAGTGTGTATTCGAGAAGTTGGTATGTCGCGAGTATCCTTTTACCTTACGTCTTTCGCTAACACCACTTCAGAAATTGGAGAAGACGATACCAGATGCGCCAAAGGGCGAGACCCCAGTCCACCTGCGCACACGCAACATCTTTGCGACCCACTGAGCTTTGTATATAATTACCGCTGGGATGGACACAAGGAAAATGAACGACATCACTTGAAATGCATGACTAGGACGAATCACAGCACCACTGTTTGTAAGGTGACGAAGCGATCAGTTTGCTGCAACTATAGGTCACGTACAACAGGTGATCTACTACGCTCCGACCCCTTCGTCAATGTACCTTCGCATTCATTTTCTACCGTATCTTCTTATTGTCGCGTTTCCCATCTTCAGACAATGCTACGTGAATCAGGCGGTTCACCGCAGCAACATTACGCATTCATGATTCCCGCGGGGCTTGAATAGCCGCTGTCACCAGCTATTGTTCAATAAGTCAGCGAGCCCTATTAATACCCGTCATCTTCGCAATTTCTACTCCTGACAGCTCCGTCTCCCACACTCAGCGTCACCATCTGCTCTTTTCCATCGATCCCCCTGACAGCGCTCAGATCAGCAATCACGCTGAATCCGACATGATGGCCACGTCAGCAGCACCTTCCGCCAACCCCTTCAGTGACAGATACGCCGAGTCTCCTACGCAGCCTGTGAAGACCGTCGACACCGATGTATTCCTCAAGGTCAACACCAGCAGAAAGCCTAGCTATGACAGCGACAATGTATCTCACAACATCCAGCACACTCTTCTGGGCGAGCCTGGTGTTCAATGGGTTCCTAACCTCAAATGGGCCCCTCCCTCCTCCCGCGGCTCTCGCGTAAGTCTGTCCAGCATGGATGGTTCGTCCACAGCGCCCTCCTCGCGGATTTCTGATGACACGGATGAGCCTATCGAGTGGAATAGCGGTAACCTCATGTACCTCATCAGCATCCTGAAGCCGGAAGAGCTTGAAGCAGACACCCTCACTTTTGCTCCACCACTTTCGGTGCTAGAAGACATCAGATACCCATTTCGCCTTCAACTCTACAACAAGGAACGCACATTGGTCGCCAAATCAGACCCAATCTGTTTGAGCCCAAAACAAGCCTGCCGCTCGATCGCTCATGACCTCATGTCAGACCACAAGTTTATCGACACCACCATCGGCAAGCTGAACGCACTGTGGGCCATTCATAGTAGCTCGGTACCTACATTGGCGTCGTTGCTACGGGGAATGGAAGAGATGATGACCGTTGCCGACGACGAATGGCAGCAGCGTATCTATCAGCTGAGCGGCGCAGTCGATGGAGACTACTTTGGCGAGTGTGTGGATGGAGAGTGCTCCATAGAGACTCGTCTGGAGTACTACCTGCTGCTGAAAGGCAGGGACGCCCTGGAAGATTCTATGCGGTGTGTAAGTCATGTTTTGGGCTTGGACTCCGACGAGGAGAGGGCGGAGCGCGCGGAAATGTTTGGGGAGGCAGGTAGCTTCCTCGAGAAGGCGTTTGAGGAGATGTCAGCTGAGGTGTAGGGGTATGTTGTCGTCCCGGTCGTGTTTGGTATGGATAGAAGCGATGGTAGAATGGGATGGTACCTCCCGGCTTGTGTATCGGTAGCATGAAACGGGATTGTTACTCATCTGAATACAATCAGACTCTATCGAACTACTGGGTATCTCTATCGTACATTCATAATCATTACCACACTTCAACATCAAGCCCTCCTTCCGCCTCCTCCACCGTCACCCCTCGCGGCCCCCAAGAACCTATCTCTCAGACTACCCCTGTTAGCAGCCGCATTCCCTGCAGGTGAGCTCCTCAAGAACGAGCTGCCTTCAAGCAGCGAGCTACTGCCATCCATGCCGAAGCTACTACGCCCATTACCCAGATCAACACCCAGACTAACCCTTCCAACAGCGGGATGTCCGCCTCCAAACATCATGCCCCCGGGCAATCCCGAACTTCTGCGGCTTGAAACACGGCGTCCACTGGAGCGGCGTCTATGTGAACGTGTCGAACGCGCGGAAGCCAGACCAGGTGGAAGAGCGCTATTATCCACGTCGCTATCATCTTCGAGTTCGGAATCCGTGTGTTCGTAACTCCCGGCTTCTGGTACATCGTCATCGAGATCGCGCTCATCTTGTAGGACGCCTGCCATCTCTGCCTCCTCCATCTCCAACATATGCGATACTTCTGCTTCCAACATGCTGCCCTCAATGAAGCTGTCCTCGTTGAACGGTACTGTGCTTTCTTCCTGCACATCGCCGCTGACTTCGCTAGCTTCCTCCTCTGATTCTTCGTCGCTGGAGACCTCGGAGGCGGATGCGCTGGGTGTGCTTTCCGCCTCGGGGACTTCGTCGTCAAGGTCTCTTTCTTCTTCGCCTTCTCCAGCCTCTTCCGCCATCTCCCCTCTCTCCCTTTGCTCCTCATTTGCGGCATCTTGTTGTGCGGCTGCCAAATCCATCATGGCTTGCTCTCTGCGCTGCATCATCTCTTGTTCCTCCTTCTCAAACTTTTCGTCCTCCCTGGCTTGGAGTGTTTTGGTGACACCGGGCGGGCGGATCCAGCCCGCTCCAAATCTGCGCACATTGAGTTTACGTTGGGCGATTGTGTTTTCGTCGGCGGCTAAACTGGCGAGGAACTGATTTTGAATGCGACGAGGGCCATGGTGCGAGGTAGGGCGTCGCTGGTTTTGGCCGTGGGCTGTGTCTGGCGGGGAATTCGGGTGGGTATCTTCGAAGGCGGCGTGCGTGGTATGGTGGGAGGGCCAGAGGCTGGCGTCCTGGGAATATCGTCAATTTGTTGCTAACATGACCTATGTTTGGAGCACTCTGAGATACCCGTGAGAGTACTTACTGGGCGCGGCGCGATCATAGGCAACGAAAACATCTTGAATCTCGTAACGGCGTCGGACGTCGTAGAATGGAATTGGGAAGTCGCAAACAGACGATTGCGCGGGTTGTCGCGTCGGAACGCGTCGTTTGGTGTTTCCTCGTGCTTGATGTGAGCTCATCGCCCCACCTCGGTTCGTCCTAATACAGCAAGGTGCCGCCCACCTGCACCGCTCTACCTTACTTCATGACTACACGTTCTCAAAAAGTTCAAAAGTCTACCCCAGAGGATCTATGTATCTGTCCTGGCTATCCCAAATATTCAAAATATCGGCGCTGACGACCCATGTCTCTGTCACGCGTATCCAGAAATTCACACAAAGTCCAAAAAGACTTGGATTGGAAGCGATGTAAAATGGGATCCTTTCCGACAGGCCATTATGATCTATGGGAATCTGAAAGCATCGACCATCTAAAACTATTCTTTTCTTCCTCAATTCCGGTCGCATCGATCGGAATCAACTGGATAATGCTCGTGTTGGTCCAAGTTCTCATGCTGTCAACCGCATGGGCCGCGTCCGAATTCATCAATCTCAATATGTGTCGATGTTGTGACCAAAACACAATCACGAAAGCCGCATGGGATTTGAAAAATCAGTGTATCGATCCGAACGCGAATGCGAGTGTGATATACCGCGAATATACACCGGTAACACCGGTGTACGACTGGTACAATACCCGGTGTCAGTCAGAGTCGAGGTCGAGACTGAGGTCTACATGAAACTATTCGCGTACGATTTCGATCCACAAAAGAGCCTGAGAACCTCCGGGCGCCATAATAGGCGTTCTGGACGACACATCAAATTGATCGTGTTTCGTCCGTGGGGTGGAATTACAACCAAGTGCCGGGCTTGTCGCTGGTAGCAGAAAGCAGTTGGCTGTAAGCGACGAGTACCACCGCAACGAGGGCAATCCCTTGCGAATATACTTTACAAATCGGGCTGCAACGCCTTGTAAAGGGCTGTCATATCCATCGTTAATCGGCCCTGCATAGAGTCATGTTCAGCCTCCGCGGACACTAATCGTCATGTGTACATGTACCTGTACATCCATCTCGTGGGTCCCCATCTCGAAGGAGAACGGCGCATATCCGCCCTACTATTCCCGCTGTTACATCCAGCCCATGCTCCATCGTCGTCAGCCTCTGCTACGCTTAGGGAAAACGACCTTCGTCTACGGCACGACTTCGGTCTAGTCCATGAGATCTTTTCCACTTGTGCTCCGGCTTGTCGGTCGCCTCCGCGCCGACATCGCGAACCGCGGACCCGACAATTTCACAAGGTTTTGACGTGCGCTTGGTACAAGGCTGGTAGTGCAAGGTTGCGGAGACGGTGTAGACGTAGCCTATTTCGAAAAAAGCATCTAACGTCCATAATCTCCGTGTCTGTATCCGTCAAAAAGACTATTTTGATATCGCATGGCTAACGATGCGATGCCTATGCGATCCGCTTGCCGTGCCGGGTAGCTCCCCATTCAGTAGTCCCGGAGGCGTGCCCGCAGCAGGCGAACGGATGCTTGGCGGCCAAAGCTTAACGCTTACGTTGGCGCTAGAATCGCGCATTTTAGCCGCCTCGCCGCCCACAGATGGGTCGAGATTCCAGGCGTGCAGCCGATGGCTTAGAGAGGATGTGGCATGAGCAAGCGAAGGTTAGCAGGCTGAAATGGGTGGCAGTGACGATCGAACAGGCGCGTCGGAACGAAACACGGTGAAGAGATTTCGGATAGCGGGTAGTAAGCATAGCGGGAGTAATACCATTTGCGGCTCTCGCGTTGAAGTTGTTGTATGGAAGCAGCCTTGGGAACCTGACATCCCGTGAAGCATACGACGGTCCCAATGTTTTCAATCGTAATAGCAAGACGTACTCTGGAGCATACGCCGGGAGTCAGACTGCTCTAGTTGCAACTTTGCACGGCTAGAACTGTCAATAGCCTCCAGGACGTTCGTATACAGTGGTTGCTGCTAACAATGTATTGCCGTAGTGCACGACGCAGGAGAAAGTGGGAAGTGGGGAAAAACCTATTCATGTGTTCCAGCTTGTCAAAAGGTCCTTTCCTTGGAAGACGGAAGCTCCGCTTACAACCTGGACGCGTCCTGCACCAGTACGCGCGCTAGATACGTTTCAGTGTCGAGCGTCGAGAACTTTGCGCGTTAACGTAAGAGGCGTCTGCTTAGGGTTGCAGAATCACCTGAGTGGCTGGCGGCGCGTCCGCGATAACGGTATCGTGCCCATGGGAA